GTAAATATAATTACACTAACTTGGAGCTAAAGCACAGATTACTAAGTGTGCTGGTGCCATCACTAGATTTTACGTTCTTTCATATAGGTTTTGTACATGGGTAACTTGTGATGTTGGCGCAATATTAATTTGGTCTTCGACTGTGAGTAGTAACCAAGCAGTCGTCCTACTGGAAATTCGAACACCTGATTTAAACTGTGTTGCTGGCGTAATACGGAGTTGGTCATCGTTTCGACCGTAAATTCTGTCAAGCACCTAAATATTTTCTTAAACTGTGGTGCTGGAACAATACAGAGTTGGTCCTCGTTACAACTGTAAATTCTGGTCATGCAAGCATCCTACTGGACATTCTAGCACCCAGATATTCCTTTGCTGCGGTGCTGGCGTAATACGGAGTTGGTCCTCGTTACGACGGTAATTTCTGTCCATGCAATCATCCTACAGGAAATCCTAGTTCGGCTGTGTTGATGGAAATCGGCGTTTGGGCTGCTCGAGCGCAAAGTGATGGTCGGGCAGTCTGACGGCCCGTTAGTCGTTTTGTTCGTCCGCGGAGATCTTGACTGGATGCGTCGTCTGGATCATATACTGAAAACTCGGATGCAAATGAAACTGGACGAGCGCGCTAGGGCTCACTGGTTCTTCCTGGGTTTTTGACTGCGAAGATGGCTGCTGAACTGAGCGAATCCAAGCAGGAAGTGTCTTGTTCTGACTAGGTCTCTGGGTGGATGATAGAAGACTACTCCACTTCAGTCGCTACAGTCTGCTGGGGGTAGTAAGCTCACTTGCGTTTGCAGTAGATGAAGATCACCACTAACCCAACAAGTTGTAAATTACTAGGTTTTGACCAAATTATTTTTTTTAATGTCAAGATGCATTTGGAATTACACGTAAAACCTTTAAGTTTAACAATTAAGTATTAGTAAAACAATGGTATTAATACATGTGCAACTTAAAAAAAATGGTATAGACAAAAATTAAAAATAATAATCTAAAGTTTTTGGTACAAGTCATGTACTTATATATAAAATCCAGAGCTTCACCGTGCTAGCACGGCATTAGTTGATCTAAAAAGTTACGTAAATGAGAATGCCTCCATGTTAGACGGTTGACGTGTAAATCTGTAGTGCGAGCTGGTCCATTATTAAAACATAATTGGTAAGAAACAATACGGATGTTGAAATAGTCGTATATAGGAACCACAACGACAGATACAGATACATCTACTGATACGAACACGATTCGCGTTTTCTATTTATTGGCTTGTTAAACACTAACATTTTGGATATTTATATTTTCACTGAAGGTTGACGTGTTGATTACAAATTAAGTACCTGATACAACTATTCGCAACTTTTGGGTAACATTCATACTTTATTCGATTTTTTGTGTACCCATCGTGGTTACCAACCATCCATCTATCCCCTCGGTTTCAGTCGGCGAATGAGAATCCAGGAAACAAAAAATCTTTCCATGGCCCTGTACACCTAGTCCGAAAGCCTCTGGAACGTCTGCTCCACGTCCTTGGTCAGTCCGTTGTAGAAAGCTTGAGCTCTGCCTCTGGCAGCTTCAGCAGCTGGAACATGGTCTGGGTGATCATCTACAGCATGGGTTCACAGACGTCTTGATCTGTGTCCTCGTCACCGGTGTAACTGATAAGCCAATTCACGGGCAGGAAGTGCTTGCGCTGAGCGAGCTTCTTATCCCGATCCAAGAAAATCTGCATAATACTCAGAGTAGTCGCCGCCACAGGCCCAAGAAATCACCGCCGGGAGGGTGACGGCAGTTACGCTTCCCTCACGCTTGGGGATACCAAGGCGCACCACACGGCCAGCACGCTTGTGAAAAGCAGTCAGACGAGCACCAAGGTAGGCAGGATAACCGCTATCAACAGGCGGCCCGATATTTCATTCAGAGCCTCAGACAAACGACCCATAGAGTCAGCTGTCATCGACACGTTCATACTCGGCCAGCGTGATACCCGTGTAGATCGAAGCCTCACGGGCCGCCACAGGCATGTTACTGATGTTAGCCACCAAGGTCGTACGCTTCATGATAGGCACCTCGCAGTCGATCACCGTCATGGTCAACTCGGGGAAATCATTCAGCACTTCGGCCATCTCGTTACCGCGCTCGCCGCAGCCCTCGTACACAATTGCGTCGGAGTCGGAGTGTTTGGACAGCGTCTGCGAACTGACCGTTTTCCTCAACCGAAAGCATCGGGGTACAGTTCACGTGCCACCCAGCATGAACGGGAGCAGTGCACGAAATGAATCACTGACCGGTAGTCAACGCTACATTACCGACCAGCTTCTCAGCTACCAGGCGGGGCTTACGCACCGGCCACATGTCCGAAAGTCTGAGCTTGTACGTGACGCCAGTCGTGTCGTCGGGCATCTCCAGCACTGTGTCCTTGAGCGTTAACTGCTCGATGTTGTCCGTCTCATATCCGTCGATCTTCACCACAGCACCGAAGACGTTTGACAACCCCACTGCCGGCAAGGGCTTGGTCGAAAACCGCCGGAACGCTGTGGTGAACGACGCTTCGATGTACTTCACGCTGCCGCACACGTCGCTAACTCCCATTTTACTGACAGTCTCCTGACCCCACAGCAGATCGCGTACGCGTACTCAGTCTTGAAGTTAACATTCCATTCCATGCACTACTTGGAGTCGTTCGCCATTACCAGCAAAGTCGCTGTGTGAACGTGACCGACGCCTGGAGTAGCTCCGTTCGCCCACGAAGGTCAACACGGGGTCGCAGATACTAGGCCACATTGTGAGCAGGAGGAGCAGGCGTAGCAGGCGTAGCAGGCTGCGGTTCGGGTTCCTCAGGTGGAGGCGTCTCCTTCTTTGGAGACGGCGGAGGAGTTAGCACTTTCTTAGCAGGAGACTAAGCCCGCTTTCTCTTTAAGACATCAATATCCTTATGGAGCTGGGCGCACTTGTCGAACTGCTTCTTCGTCATCAAGTTGTGTAGTTTCTCGTTCAGCTTCTCGATCTCAGCATCCAGTTCTTCAGGAATCTGCTTTTTCTTGCGAGCAGACACATGAGCGTCCAAGCTCACTTGCAGATCACCGCACTTACCGAAGTCACGTGCAGCCATCGCCTCAGCAATCGTAGTTTCCATGGCATGAATACGCTCGTCAAGTTCCTCCGGCTCCAGCTCGTTGAGGTCTTCCTTTACATTCTTACAAGCTTCCTGGAGCACCTCCAGCTGTTTCTGGAGTTCTGCACACAACCCAAACTGCTGCCTCCATGTCCTTATTCTGCTTCTTGATTGCAGCGTCTACCTCCTTCGCAGTGCGGACCTTCTTTCGAGCCTCGACAATCTCTCCAGCTCGAGCTGCAGGTTCGCGCAAAGTTCAAACTGCTTGCTCACCGCTGCATCTTCAATGGCCTTTTCCATCTCCGCAATATTTGTGTCCAGCTCCTTGGGACCCATGTCGCCAAACGGATGCAACAGATCCCGTCTACGCACCAAGTTGCAGCGCGCGATCTTTTGTACAACCACGGCCTTATCATTCTGAAGACGGTAATCGGCACGCATCCGCTGGTACTTGCTCATCGCCACACGCAAAGGATGTACATCACTCGGTATGCACTGCGACGTAGACGCTGCATATGTCTCTTGGCCACAAACTAGCATGCCTTCGTTGGATTTGATAGCAGCCTCAGCTCGAGCCATGTTACGAACCCACTTCTGAATGGCAGGAGCTGCCGACTTGCAACGCAGCACCTCGAGCTTGCGCAGCTTGAACGCCATAGCCCGTTTCAGGAACACCTTGGTTTTACCTAACTGCCCTTCCTCCTTGCCAGTACCCAGGATGGACGAGATCGCCTCGACGAGCTCCTTGATGTTCTCCGCGTCAGGTGCGAGCGATTGGTAGTCGTAAAAGAATATGTCGTGGTCCTCACGCAGAACAAAGCCGCGCTGACGGATCTGAATTGCCTCCATCATGCCAGAGCATTCAGCTCACGGGTACAGTCCAAATCATTGAGCTCACTTGGGCGAATGAACTCGTTGGGCTTAATACAACACACATAGCGAGGGCTTGCCAACGAAATTTTGTTCATAAGCTTCTGCAACTGATACCGGAACTGGGCGCTGACAGAAATTTCTCGGATGTTACGCGACTTGTTTCACCTGCATTCCCTTCTTCATCGCGGGCGTCGAGATGTCGAGTGCTGCTGCTGCGTCTTGTTGCCAGGAATGGCTTCGAGCGACTGAATGTTGAGATCGAAGATCCCGCGCAGCCAGTCGCTCTTGGATTACCAGATCAACTCCTGCATGTCGTCGTTCAACGTCTCGTTGTTCTTGTCAGTGAAGCCGCTAGCGTCGTAGATCACCTTACCAACGTAGTGCTTGATGTCGAAGTGCAAGTCTGCGTCCATTTTGGGGTGCACAAAGAACTTGTTGTTACCACTCGAGTGGCCGCTCGACGTGCGGCCAAACGAGTTGTGCAGGTTGGAAACGAAATTCTTGTTGGTTTCCTCGCCCTTGAGTCGCCAGTTGTCATCCAACGAGATGAAGATGCCCGGCTTGCCGTTCACCTTGCTCTCAATAAGATCCAAACACTCCTGGTTGTCCTCGAAGTCAATGTGCTTCCAGTCGATCCCTTCCTTAGCATAGTCGTTCTGCTCCACCTCCAGCATGTGCTGATTGAAGTATCGCTGGGACTTCTCGTTGGCGTAATTGATGCACAACTGCTCGAACGTGTTCCACTCGAACTTCTCGAAGCCATAGATATCCAGAACACTGATGAAGCCCCATTTGTCTTGGTTGCGCGAGTTTGTGCGGTTGAGCTCCAACACAAACCATAGGAACTGCGAGGAGTAGATGCCCTTAGCAAGAGCGTCACGGTTGTTACGCACTTGCTCTGAGTTCTGCTGCTGCACAATGACCTTACCACCAACGTACAGTTGCCTTGTGAGCAGCGCCTTGGACAGCGCGTGCTCGCTCACCTTGAGCAAAGAAGCTGCCAGCTTCATCCCATTGGCTAAGTCATCCCCTACAGTGACACAATTGTCATTCTCCATAGCAAACAGCAAGTTGCGAAGCTACAACACCGCGGCAAGCAATTCAAACACCATTTTCTGTCGATCTTCAGTGATGCTAATCGTTCCCATGCATTCTTGGTCGTTGCGAACTCCTTGACACCGTCGTACGAGTTGATACTAAAACACTCGCTCTTCCTCAGATACTCGTAGTCGTGAGGCGTCTGCAGCTGCAGTCGCTCTCGCAGAGCATTGTCCGCCCGGCCAACAACTGGTAGAAGATATAGTAGTTTCTCTCTCCGATACTTTGCGACACAATACGCGTCTTCTCCAACAGAAAGTGGAGGATCTGCGCTCCAACAATTTGCCGTGGTAGTTGAATTGAATCTCGATAAACTTGCCAAATCGACTGGAATTGTCATTGCGCATTGTCTTGGTTTTGGCGAACGACTCGAGTAGTGAATTACTCTCCAGCACTCTCTCCTCCAGCTTGCCTAGAGCTCCAGACACGAATCGTCAAGATCCTGTACGGCGAGTTACAGGCCCTCCAGGCGACGGCAGGTATCGTCAGGTGACCACCAGCGCTACGCTCTCCATCCCGCGCAAGTCCATCGGCCTTGCAGATTTTCTCGCTGCTCCACGTCTTCAACAAACACATCCGTAAAACTTCTTCGCCAACGACAAAGCTACCGTCTCGACGGCAAGTCTTGAGCAAGACCGAGCTCCTGGGTGAGTCGTATACCGTCATTTACGTCATTGGTTCGGAGCTCCGTGGCTTTCACATGACGGTATGATCCACTCGTCGCACGGCGAGATGTAACTAAACAACGCGCCGTCTCTCTTCGACGAGTGTTACGCGCTCGTGTCGACGCTGCACCGCAAGAACAAGGACATCTCCGAGTGTTGCTCCCTGGGTGCTGCTCAGCTTTCTCACTTGAAAAAGAAATTTTTGATGTTAAATTTGTCCTCGCAAAACGCAATATTTCTGGTTACAAATGCGTCGTTTATGTAATCTCAGCCAAAAGGCTTTATTTGGCCTGTTAAGATAAAGCGATAACAGTTTTTTTTTAGCCAATCAATAGGTTAATTGAAGAAAATTTAAAGGCCATTTTATTCATGTAAATTTAGCAATGTCAAAAGGGTTAAGCTAAAACCAACCTAGAATGATCAGATTTTCAGGGGTTTGTTTTCGCCGAGATCTAAAGAAAAAATGATTTTTTGATGTTTTCCATTGAACAAACAGTTTTTGAAATGAAGACGTTTTGAAGTATTTTAGCATTTCAAAATTTAAAAGAAACATTCGTTTGAATATGCATTAAATAATTATTTTTAGAAAAGGTAGTTTGTTTCTTTAAAAAAAAAGTACTTTGAAAACGATTTTCAATTTAACGATATGTACTTCATTAGTATTGACAAATATTAGAAAATTAAATATTAAGTATCCAAATATCCCGAGCTTCCCGTGGCATTAGTTATTGACAATGCTAATTTCGGTTGCCGTGTTTGCGACAACACATGATTTGCCTTTCAGTTATTCTGCCTCGATTATTCTGCAATTCTATTCCCTTCTCAGCCTAAATCATGCTCTACGGTCAGCTAATTCCATGTTAACTACGGATTACCTCATCTCCGACGGTTTTAGGGCGGGGATGCTGAGCCTGCTTTAAGACGGAATACGTGAGTTAATCAAGCCCGAGTAAGAAAGAGATGTGAAGGCGTTTGGCGGTTTGCTGGCCGCCATTCCGGCTGTAACCAGACGTGTCTCCGCCGATTGGATCTAACACGCTGGTCAGCGGTGTTGTGAAAGAGTTCACAATCTTATGCTTAATTAGCGTTAAATGTGACTGAACAGCCTTATTATGTATCTAATTAACACTATAACATACCCGCCAAAACTAGTGGGCGGCATCAATATTCAAGAATCTATACGAAACCTATTGGATCTCAAACTAAGCAATCATGGTTGCGTTTAAGGACGTATCTGGATGGAGAAGGAACAATCCCCGCCTTACGATGTCGATCGGGTTTCGAACGTATTATAATAAAGTTGCTCTACAAGGAGAAGTACATTTCACCTGAAGTTATCGGTAACCGCAGCAGGCAACGAGAAAACTGAAATCGCGGAACTCCTACGTCGATCCCCGCATTTCCTTTAATGCAACATGTAATGCTTTCGCAGGGACTAACAATCCAAAGAGTGTGGATTTATTGAGATCTTCGAATGGCAAACTGTGGGCAAAGTTTGACGCGATATTAAGTGCGTTCCGAGAAGCAGCATGGCGCGGTCTTCTGGAGGTTGTACAAGTTATTGTGGATCGTTATTGTCGACAGCAAAAAAAATGTCAAGAAACACGGGAGCAAAAGGTTTTGATGATTGCCGTGCAAGCAGATTTGCAGTTCGTGGACTATGGATACTTCACCCACAGCATGCGAAAGGAAATATTGCAGGCGGCAACAGCCGATGCACCCAAGAAGTTCGCACAAAAGATGTTTGCACTCGTTAGCTCTGATCATCGGGGATTTCCTTATCCTATTTAAACAATTCTAGGTTGCTTGGAACGATCAGTTCGTTGGCATATTTCGATTTTTGCGAGATAAATTGACCGGAGAACCGCTTCTATCGCGTCGTCTTTCTCTTCAAAACGAATCTAACTAGTGAGCATTAATCCACAGATATCAGAGGTAGCTTGGCCTCGCTTAAGGGCAGTTCCAAAGTGGTTGTTGTTTATTTCTTTTTCGGAGGTCCAAACAGCCCTCCATCGCCATCCCAGTCGGAGTCCGAGTCCGAGTCTGAGGACTCTGCAGCACGCATTCGTGCAGCAGCACTAGGAATCGGCGGGTGAACAGCAGGAGCTGTTGCTCCCGATGGCGGTCCGAAGAGTGAGTCGGACGATGCCGCAGCTTGAGTTGGTGCAGGAGTGTTCTGTACGACTGGAGCTTGAGTTGCAACTGGCTTTGCAGGAGCAGGCTTGGACGTAGACGCGCCAAAAAGTCCGCCGTCATCGTCACTCCAGTCATCGCTATCGTCGTCGGACGAAATCTGTCGATTGATTAATGGTCTAGTAGGTGGCACGGAAGTGGCTACTGCAGGCATTGGCGCTGGGGTAGGAGCTGGTGACGGTGTCGGTGCAGCCCGTGCAGGTGGAGCACCGAACAGTCCACCATCGTCCGAGTCACTCGAGTCGCTGTGCACGCGTGATTGTCTTGTCTGGACAGGCGGCGCAGTAGTAACCGGTGCGGTAGTAGGTTTGGCCGGTTGTGAGATTCCGAAGAGTCCTCCGTCGTCGTCACTGTCGCTGTCGCTAACGTCGTGTGTGACCACGGGTGGGGGTCTGGATGCCACTACTGGAGGTGGCTTTGCAACTGCTGGAGCAGTTGTAGCTGGTTTGTTTGTGCCAAATAGACCGCCGTCATCACTGTCGCTGTCGTCACTATTTCCACCGAATAGTCCGCTTTGAGAACGCTGTACGGGCTGAGAGCTAGGGGCCGACGCTAAAGGAGTTGTAGTCGCAGTAGCATTAGGCTTTGCACCAAATAAACCTCCGTCTTCGTCGTCACTGCTGCTATCAGAATACATTGAACGTCGAGGTGGGATGGCAGTAGGCGGCACCACAGGCTTTGCAGTCGGCGTAGTCGGTTTAGCTGGCGCAGTTCCAAACAGTCCGTCATCATCGTCACTACTGTCGTCCGACAAGTCAAGACGTCGAGATTGCGGAGGCAACACCGACACACCAGCAGGTTTCTTGGTCTCCTTAGCACTGGACGGTCGTCCAAACAAGCCACTGGTTGTTGATTCAGCCTCACTTTCACTAGAGAGAAAACTCTTCTTCGGTTCCATAGTACTCGACTCTCTTGGCGCTTCAGCCATGGGCAACCGGAAACCTTGTGGGGGTTGAGCAGTCTGCGGTTTAGACTCCTTCCCACTAGCAAACAATCCCTCCTCCTCATCTGATGACGAGCCGAACGAGTCAGACCGTCGTGGAGTTAGACGTTTGCTGCTGTTTCGACGTTTCGGAGTGCTCGGATTGCCACCAAACAGGTCTTCACTAGTAGAAGACTGCTCACCAAACAGTGACGGACGCTGCTTCGCTTTATCCTGTTCATCTGTAGCGAAGACACGGGGCTTGGTGGTTGGAGCAGAGCCGAACAACCCAGCCTCACTCTCTTCATCCGAGCTGCCCAAGAACTGGTCTTTCCTTGCAGGCGTGGGGGCAGCAAACGGCGGAGGAGCTTCACGACGGCTTGCTGAGCTTTGCTTGCGCTGTGGCGTCTTGGTTTCATCGTCGCTGTCACTCCAGTCGCTATCACTCTCGTCGTCAAACACCGGACGATGACGAGAACTGCGTGAAGGCGGTGCAGCTGACTCTGGTGCTGAAGGACGACCGAATAGGCCACTTGTTGAGCTCTCGTCTGAGTCAGCACGACGTCTAGACGCCTCCACAGCTGGAGGACGACCGAATAACCCACTAGTATCGCTCTCATCTGAGTCTGCACGTCTTCTTGGCGGTGGAGCAGCCACTGATGACCCATCGGACTCTTCTGAACTCGAACGGTAGCGTGATCTCGAGCGAGATGACCTTCTCTTCGATCTCTCTGATTCTTCTGAGTCTGATTCTGAGTCGGAGCTGCTATACGACGACGCATAACTCGAGTCGCTGTCGCTGTCTGAGTAATTCTCCGGTGCAGCACCCAATCCGAGCGTCTCATCCTCCAGGAACTCCCTCGTACCGATGATAAAGGGCAGCGGACGTTCGTTGTAGATGTCCAATACAGTGTCGAACTGGGACGACGTCTCGCTCTTGTCGTCCTCGTCGTCCATCATGACGAACAGCTTCATGGCTTCCATTCCCATGTCCAGAGCCGACCTGTACTTGTTGACAATGGACTCAGCAGCCGCCTTGGGGCCGTTCTCCTTGTTTTCCGTAGTGGCTGAGGCCTCTGCAGCCTGTTCCTCCTTCTCCTTGTCTGTTTCCTGTTTCTCTGCAGTGGTTTGACCGCCTTCGACGCCGAAGAAATCCTCCTGCTCTTCGTCGTACACGCGGTTCTCGATGAACTGGTTGTTGGACAACATGAGGAATTGGTTGAACGTGTTCTTAAGTCGCACATGGGCCGAGTCCGCCTCGGCTGCGATGTCTCTCACGCTGTCCTCCAGGTCCTTCGTACGTGCGAACAGGTCGGCCGAGTATCGCTTCAGATAAGCGTGCAAGTCGTGATCCGAGTGCAGCGTCCAGTTGGCCACTTCTTGTGCCAGATCGGCCAGAGTTTTGGTCTCGGGAGCTTTCGGTACGGCGGCGTCGGTCCCAGGCTCTTCAGGAGGCGGAGCTGGCTGATATTCAACTAGTTCGTCGTCGAGAGGAGGAGGAGGAGGCGGGACCACCGCTAGCGCGCTCTCGAGCGTGGGTCCGGCCTCAAGAGCCAGCATCTCGGCCATCGTTGCGGCTCTGATTACTCCGGTGATAGTGAAGACAAGTTGTGAGATTGAAGAGGGGGACCGTGTGACGCACATATAACGATGTAGCGCACACTGAATTTTGGTTTCAAACATAGATGACACTGAAGTGAGGGAGCATGTTGAAGTGCTGTCAAGTGACAGTTGCAATTTTTACCTCGGAAGACCGACAATGGAGCCGCGGCGTCCGAAGCACAAGCAGGCACCGCCGTTGGAGGTCTCGCAGAGTGAATTGGAGCGAGCGCTGAAAGACCCAAAGGTGTATGTGTTCCCGAACGTGGACGCCGAACGAATGGCGTTTCCTAACGGTCAGGAAGATGCTGACCAACTGCGAGTAGTGCACACGCACATGTCGATGGTCTTTATGCTGCCTGAGCGAGTGTACAAAGTGAAAAAGCAAGTGGACTTCGGCTTTGCAGACTTCTCGACACTGTTCAAACGCTTCCAGGCGTGTTTCGCGGAGGTGCAGCTGAATAAACGACTGGCACCAGATGTGTACATGGGCGTAGTGCCAGTGTCTATGAAGAGAGTGACGCGAGAGATCTGTGTGCGGTGCGATGACTTCTGGACACCAGAGAAGAGCAACAACTTGGACTGGTGGCTCAATGATCAGTTTGGAGAGATCGTCGAGTGGGCCGTGCACATGGTTCGCCTGCCGGATGACTGTACGCTGCTGTATCGCATGGACCACGGGGAGCTGAACCATCATATGCTGGAGCAAGTGGCTGAAAAGCTGGTCGAGTTCCACGCTGATGCGCGTCGTGGACCGAAGATCGATCATTTCGGAAAAGAATCCGTGGTCCGCCACCATATCGACGAGAACTTTGACCAAACGGCTGCACACACTGGAGTGACAGTAAGTGAACCCGTTTATCGCCGAGTGAAGGAACTATCGTACACGTGGTTGAAGAAACTCAAGCATACATTCGAGTCACGAGTGGAAAATGGCTACATTGGTGATACCCATGGAGATCTACGACTTGAACATGTATACAAACTACCTGGATCGTCGAAGGACGGAACGTTTGTGATTCTGGACTGTATCGAATTCAACGAGCAGTTCCGATTTGGGGATCCGCTCTCTGATGTGGCTTTCCTGACGATGGATATTTGGCGTAAGGGTCGCCCTGATCTCGCACATTTCCTACAACAGCAGTATCTCCTCAAGGCAGTGCAAAACTCGCCTGAAAACAACGATCTATTTGCATTCTACGCTGCGTATCGCACCGTGGTACGCGCTAAGGTGTGTGGCTTTCGAGTCATGGACCCCACCTTAGCAGCTGTTCGCCGTGTCGAGGAAACTCAGCGTGCACGTTGCTACTGGTTGGTGGCTCTAGAACTTCTGAGTCCTCCTGCACAGCGGTCTTGCCTGATCCTTGTTGGAGGCCTCCCTGCCAGTGGCAAGTCCAATTTGTCTAAAATGTTGGCAGAAAGCGACAATACTTTAGTGTGGCTACGCTCGGATTCTATTCGTAAGGAACTAACAGAACAAGAAACAACTCAAGAAGAGTCTACACCCAAAGGTGACGGAAGTTTTGAAGAAGGTTTATACTCTCCGGAGATGACACGCCGCACTTACGATGAAGTTTTGAAGCTGTGCGTGAAGCATTTACGTAAAGGAGACCGTGTAGTGGTCGACGCCACCTTTCGAGATCTAGATCAGCGACAGAGATTTATTACTACTGCTCGTGTTGAAGGAGCTCTGTTTGCCTTTATCATGTGCGAGTGTGATCGTGAGATCATCAAAGGCCGAATGCTGGCTCGAAAGAACGACATCTCGGACGCCACGTGGGAAGTTTACGAGCACATGGAGACAACGTGGAGTTATCCTGAGCGTGATACCTTGACTGAGTGCACGGTCGTGAACACGGAAAAGGAGAAAGAACTGACACTACGTCGCGCTCAGTTGTTCCTACGCAAAGTTGGACTGCTATAACGTAATTCGGAGGTTAGCACGAGTGATCGACATAGTAATGGGAAGTCTGCTTTGTATTTGTTTGCATCATGTTTCACAGGTTCGCGCAGTATTTCCTATAGTATCACGATGGTTGTTGAGTGGTGTGCATTGCAGTAGGCGGCACCATGCTGGGCGCCGCAGGCCGTTGTTTGCACACACAGGGCTGGTCGGCTCTACCTCCACAGTAACAACATGTCTTGGTGAGTACTTTGGAGCCGAAGGTTGTTCGCCAGTGTGGCGGCCAGGTCGTCTCAATCGACGCACGTGCACACAGACGCACGTAGAACATTGCCAAGCGAGGGTAGAGCCCGTCAAGCTGCAGCCCACATCGCACAGCGTAGGCCACATTGGTAAAGAGCGTGAAATCGCACAGATACGGTATTTCTGGGTCCACGAGGAACTGGTGGCCATCGAGATACGACTCCCACAGACTCAATTCGTTCTCGACTGAGGCCCACTTGGCATTGACGATGGCAGGGTTGCGCTTCTCGTGCGGGAATCGACGCAGATACACGACCAGATCGCCCACAACGGACAAGATCTCATTGGCTTCGTGCAGTCGAGACTGTGCCACTGCATACAGAGCTGGCGACGCAGGCATACACGGCGCCTCGGGGTACTTCTTCTCTAGATACTCGAGGATCGCACTGGATTCGTACACGACGGTACGGTACTGCGACATAGTGTGTGTCATGAGGCGAGAGATGCCCATGGCGGCTTCGGCCACTTTGCTTTTCGGGTCCAGCGTCTCGTCCGTCTGTTTATCCTCACGGGGTGGCAGCTCCATGGGTTCTACGAGCACTGGGATCCTCATTCGCGGGTTTAACGCGCGGAAGAAGGGCGTCTTGAGAACGCCACTGGAGAAGCTTACACATACACTGCGGTACGGCAGTTTCTTCTCCTCCAGAGCGATCAGGATACGCCAGGCTGCGCAGATAGAGCCAATACAACAGGTTAGCCATGTCTTATGACAACTTAGGTCGGGCTCACTAACCCTGCGGACTGCCGGAGCCCCAGTAGACCACACGCTCGTGTGGCAGCGGCGCTAGACGCAGCATCTCCTCCTCGCTGGACACCAGACGGTTCGGGTCCGAGTCGACGGCAGTCACTTGCGGCATCGACATGTCAACGTCTTCTTCGGTCGCTGGAGCACAATGACAATTGGCCGGCAAACACGTCGCGCCGAGATGTGGTGTGTGTTACATAAATAATTTGCACATCGAGCGGCGACCAATTGGAACGCGTGAAGCGGTACACGTCAAAACGAAATGAGACCAGGTCTTTCTATGCCAGTCGCGTGCAATTGAAGTCACGCCCCAGCTTGCGGACTCGAGCGGAGCTGCCCCACATGGGAGATCTGCCAATGCCAGATCTCCAGTCTGAAACAACAGCATCGTGGCTGCAGTGGCAAACATTGGCGGGCATGGGAAATCTATGAATCCGAATGGCGAGGTTTGCCACCCGCCGAAGTTCTAACTTCAGTCAGTCAAATGTGACCGCCTCCATTCAACACTGTTGCAATGATGCGGCATCATTGATTGTCTTCCTACTATACTGTACAATTACTGCAGCAAACTTTATTTAAAAAAAAGCTCATTACTTACCAGTTAACGCTGGTGACGCTTGCCAGGTCGAGCCCAACAGCATTGCATAACAGTCGTCAAAGTGAGCGAATGGCTAACAAAAGCATGCATTTAATATAATTTAAAACCAAGCAGGCGACACCCCGAAAGGCAACTCTATGTTGAAGTTGGCTTTTAAGTTTCTCACACTAGTTCGTGTATCCACACCAAGTTGATGTTCTTTTGCAAAGTTCAACGTCGGCCATTCACGAAGCGCCTCGGATCCCGTTAAGTATGACCAGAAATCCCGTAGATCCTTCTAGCTGCGAGGTCGACGACTGGCTCGTCGTGGACAGTGACGGCAGTCGTGACTCCACCGCAGATATCGACGAACAGCCAGAGATCAATAGCCCGGAAGTGCGTGGGAAAGAGCGTGGTCTTGAAGCGTCACAGACTCAGAATCAGATTCTGGACAACCAAAAGCTCCAAACACCTGCGTCTGATAACAACCAGGAATCAGAATTGAATCAGGCGAATGACTTGCTCAAGCTGCTCGTGTGGCATGACGGGCTGGAGAAGCCCATCGAGCTCGTCGATGGGAATCAGAAGCCGCTTCTGGTAGCTCTCAAGCCTTGCTCGGCACGAGAGCTGCTGAAGATGATGCAGGAGCTGATTCTCGTGCAACCTCAGCTACGTGGGGTGTTCCCCCAAGTGACTAGAGAGAACGTCGATGAGGTAACTCAAGTGTGTGAACGCTCAGGTGACGATATGAAGTGGTCTCCACTTCGGATTTCAAAGAAATATGGCGATACGGACGCGTTGAAGAGCTCTAGTGCTGCCAAACTGCAGCTAACGTCCCAGTATGGCCTTCCTAATGAAAACCAGTGCCACCAATTGCTGGTTGAGAGTAAGTTTGAAGCTGGTCATGGTGGGGAGCTTACGGATTGGCGCTGTGGGAGGTTTTACAGTGATATCCTGGAGAATTCCTGGCGTTTTGAGCTTGAGATCGGCCAATTGGTTGACGCTTTAGACACTGACAAACGCTGGTACGAGTCTCGCATCGTGGATACGGGCGCTGCCTACGTTAAAGTCCACTATCGGGGCTGGACTTCCAAGTGGGATGAGTGGTTACGTCGAACGTCGGAGCGTCTAGCTCCGCTGCATACCAAAGTGTCCAATTGGCGGGATTTCCAGCTGGGAGATGAAATTCTGGTTGGCTCTGAGCTGCCTGGTAAGCGGTATCCGGAGTGGCGTGCTGCGCGTGTGACGGCGTGTGCTATTGAGGACGGATCTCTTCAGATTGAGGTGAATGTCGATGGAAAGAAGAAGTGGATGGATGCTCAGGACGAGCTTCTATGCCAGAAGGGAACGCACAAGGCAGTCAATGGTGGTGCAAAGCGAGATTCGACAGGTTTTGCAGCACCCCACTCGCTACTGGTTAACTACTTTGAGCGACCAGAGGAACTACCGCCTTCACCTTCATGTAAAAAGAAGCCTGTGAATGAAGTCGAGTCTGTGCGTGAAGCAACACGCGCCATGCAGTTAGCCAACCCTGATGCAGATGGTGACGAGTGGTGTGTTGTTGATGATGGCGAGAAAAGCGGGAAAGCAGAGTGCAATAGCCAAACAGATACCACAGCTGTGGAAAGTGAGGTGCCTCTTTCTGAAGGAAGTGATACCGATAGTCCAGAAAGTGAGTGTAATAGTGCCGAGCAACCAAAGCGAAGCATGGGGACGCCTACAGCCGGTCAGATTTTCACAATGACGACGGAGATACTGAATGGCGAAGTGGATTCGACTGTTTGTGAGGAAGATGCGTGGCGCTACGAACTTTGGATCGGCCAGTTGATTGACGCACGTGATACAGACAACGTTTGGTACGTTGTAGCGGTAGTTTTCCTGTTCAATGGACAACTGAATACTTCTTTTTGTTAAACGTGTAAGGTATGAGTCGCGGGTGGTGGCTTTGAGCTCGACCCTTGTGAAGCTACACTATCGCGGGTGGACGTCCAAGTGGGACGAGTGGATTGAGCGCACGTCGACGCGAATCGCGCCGCTGTACACCAAAGTGCGGAACTGGCGTGCCTTCAAGGTGGACGATGCTGTGATGGTGGGGCGACAAGTGGCCTCCAAGAGATACCCCGAGTGGCGCAACGCCGTCGTTATCGCTCTTGAAGCGTGCGAAGTGGATGGGCGACTTCGAATCGAGGTGGAGATTGACGGCTGCTACCAGTGGATGGACGCCCAAGACGAGATGCTGTGTCCTCCAGGAACACACAAGGCTGTGAATTCGTCGATGCTGAAGCACATGGTCCCGTTGTTCTAAGGATGGGGTCTGGGTAGTTTGTGTGAACTTTCAGGAGTCGTTTGGTATGGTAGGAGTCATGCACAATTGATTTTTTTTCTCTATTCACATTCATTTTAAGATCCGAGCTGCCCTCTCTGTTTTCCTCTCTTAGCAATCAGGCCGTTGTTGTCCTGCATTAATGGAGATGTAAATAATTGGATCACCAATGTATCGTGTCAGCGTGTTTGCTGTGGGGATTTCTCATTTTGTTGCTCGAAACAACTACACGGATTCAAGCACTTTTTGCTAGTTGGAGTCCATGAACTCCTCAAGGTCATCAATTCTCTGGACATAACAACCATACCCAAGGTGTTCCGCTCTCCAATAGCAATGACTCCATTCCGAGTGCAATAAAAACCTTCCTACCCCCCCCCCCCCCCCTGGCCGCCCCCTTTGTCGAATCGTCTAAGTAAAAGGCGCTGCGCCAGATCACAGCGGCTCAATAGGAGGACTCACGACCGAAGCAGTAATATCGTGGAGCCCGACTCCAGACGAAACAGGTTCAAAGAGTTTGCTTATAATGCCAACTAGCTCTCCTGTTGAGTCTCTCAACATTGTCACCATCACGAATAATCTGTCGTTGAGAGGAATACTAACCGCAAGCTCGTGTTTCAGATATTCACTTAGCTCATCACAAGTCGCAGGTCGTGCAGTAACTTGCGTGTTGTTGATAGATTGTATCCAACTCTTGTAGTTAGTATTCAATCTTCTCCACTTGGCCTTCCGAACATCGCCAAGTAGCATCACCAGCACTTGAACTTGCTTGGGGATTGGTGCGCGCTTCCCAGTCGTCTCGGACTCGTTCAATACGTCTTCAATTGTCCACGATGCCATCATTTTGTTTTCATCGATTATTTTCTTTACGTCAGGATGAATCACTCCATTCTTTAATGCTTGCGCAGCAGGTCCTTTTTCTAGTAGCCATTCGCCGCCAGCTACCGCCAGGAAAAGCTTCAGCTCGCAAGCGCCGCACTTCTTCTTCTCTTTGGTCGCGTCTTTTAATGTGTCGACCATCTCAGTATCGCTGATCTTTATCGTTAACACGCTTTTCTCTCCAACGATCGCACAGACCAGCCTTTCTCTCGAAAGTAGAATTTGGAATGAGGATAGAGTGAATACAGTTTGACCGAACCCATCCATATTTTGTGTCGTAGGTTCATCAGTTTTAGGCAAAAAGTTCCCCTCAGTCGAAGTAAATTGACATCCTACGAGCCCGAATCTGGCATGCTTAAAACGTATGAAAAGCAAAACTTGTGTAGAAATGGTGTGCGCATGACCACCAACCAAAATCGAGCTCATTGTTGCACCATCATGGGCAAGAAGAGTAAGGCGAGCAGCGGTCGCAAGCGCAAGGCAGGCCATCTGGGCTTCCAGGCGGGCGAGATCGCCTTCATCGAGGATGAGATGGCGGCGCTGGCGGCTGAGTATGGACTGGAAGTGGACGTAGACGTAGCCAGCCATGTGCAGCAGCGCAAACAAAGCAAAAAGACGCGACGACGACAGCTTCCGGGCGCTAAGAGCAGCCAAGCGACCAGCAATCAACACTCTGGCAATAGCAACGCAAGCACTGTGAAGTTGCTGGACACTAAGCCCAAGCAAAGCGACCCTGAGGACCTAGAGGACGCACACAAGCTCGTACTCAAGCGTCTGGCCGTCGTACTGCCCGACACTTGCGCGCTTCGAGGCTGTGGCGTCCCTGGCTGCTCGTGTGTCAATGGATCACGCTCTTTGGGTATTCAGGAGCGCGACGATGGTGATAAAACCAAGAGAGATCCACTTGAGAACGCCCAGTGTCAGAAATGCCAACATGGAGTACTACAACACGCTGTAGTGCTCAGAGAAGACGCAGATCCCGCTGCTGCGTTACCCAGTGGCGGCCAGAGACTATTGCAGACTCTATTTCAGACCATTCGCCTCGGAAGAATAGGCGCAAGTATCTTTAAGAGCCGCGTGTGGACCAAATCTGCCTTCGAACGTCTAGAAGCTGTGCTCGCTCACCTCAAGAAACAATTCGCAGCGGGAGGCACCCAGAACGGTCAAAAGTCATCAGACGAACTGCGTCAGGAGATGCAGTTGCTTACAGACTTACAGACGCAGCTCCGTAATGCTCAACAAGCTGTAGGTAAAGCGTCTCGCGATGAACTCCCGATCTCTCTGGCTTGCGTGTGTGATCAGATGTACTTCCAGACATACTACGCTGCTCTTGTACTCTACGGACGTGCGTGTGGCGCTGTACCGTCACCAGAAACGTATCTGAAGGAGCTCGAGCGATTCACACCTGAAAGTACGTTGCAATTAGAAACGTTTCTAAACCGCGAGTTGTCCGGATCGGGTCGATTGATCAAATCGCTCGCACTTCCAATTGTATCGTCGAGTTCTCAAGATGAAATAGCGCGTGAACGTCAACGAGCTCTACAACAAGAAGACCAGAACCCGCTGTTGTCGATCTACCATGCTCGTCTGCGTGAAGGTGTACGTCTCTTCTACGAAGAAGGCGTTGGAATGGATGGAGAGATGGACGCTGTTTTAAACGCTCCTAAAAGTGAACCAGTGGCTAGTAAGAAAGCCAAGAACAACAAGAAGAAACACTATCGTCGTGAGAGGAAGGACACAGCTAGAGACACTGAAGTCTCGTTGAAGGAGATGCCTAGTTACCCTCTTCTAGCTCAGTGGCGCAACAATTGCCGTGACTGGTGCTGTCACTTGTACGCGTATGCAACACCTACCGAAGAAGCGCTGGATGTGATGGCCCAGTACGCTCCTATCGTTGAAGTCGGTGCTGGTACGGGTTACTGGAGTTCACTATTGCAACGCGCTGGCGTGGATGTCGTCGCGTATGACAAGGCTCCTCCGAGTGCTGACGGTAAGGAAGGCAACGCTTATCACGGTCACGTGCCGCCGTTCTGCTCCGTTGGACGTGGAGGCCCTGAAGTTCTGGGTCAAGAAGACATGGCGAAGCGTAGTTTGTTCCTGTGCTATCCGCCACCAGGCGATGCTATGGCTGTACGCAGCATCCAGTTGTTCCAGGGTGATGTGGTGCTACATGTCGGTGAGTGGCAGGGTGATACAGGCGACAATCGCTTCGAGAGTGAACTTCAACGTCGATTTATACTGGAACAGGAGATCGCGCTGCCTAATTGGGGAAACTCGGCGTACGGATTGACTGTGTGGCGTCGCAAAGCGACGGATGTTGAACCGGTGGCGTGGCATGCGATGAGCTGTTTCCATTGTGACAAGACACTGGCGGATGGAGCTGATGAAGGGGAACCATTGAGACGATGTGTGGTCTGCAAGACGAACGTATACTGCTCAGCCACTTGCGCGCAGCGAGATGTTGTGGAGCACGCTGCTGAGCACGCCGCGCGTCTAGTGTTTTTAGAAGAGCCAACTTCTGACATGGCGTATGAACGTATCTTCGAAAATGAAGCTTACTACCGCGAGCTTAAGGAGCCTGACTTGGACGATTCGGTCGTGGCTGTTAAGAGCAACTGGAATGCTTTGACGAAAGCCGATGCTGCTGAGGATGATTCTGAGGCTAATGGTGACGAAAGCGACGAAGACGACGCGGACGAGGAGGACCTGCCGGAGAAGACTACTGAGAAGGCTGCGTTTGCCTTCAACTTTGGCGCTTAGAACAGTTTATGCGCAGGTAGTTGAGATTCAAATTGTATGTATACTTATCATACAATCACATACGTCCATAGAGAACTACCACTCTCATTTTCATTTTTCCACTGCTGCTGAGTATATAGTGCGGTGGATTGAACATGCAGTGCCATAGTAAAAGGGTTTGATGCGGTGTTGGCCTCATTGAGTTGCTGCTACAGTATTGAGGCGGGCTAGGAGTAGAGCCCAAGCACATGCACGGAGCACACAGCTATTCAAATGGAGATGGGAGTAGAGCCCAAGCATGTGCACACTGTTATCGGAATGACGGTTCGCTGGGCTTGGATTCGCCTGCTCCGTCCGATATTAAAAAAAAAATCCTTTCAAACGCAATTACAAAGTCGTGCTTCGCCCGAAGTAGCGCTAAATTTTGTCACACACTTAAGTTTCGAAGGCTTGGAGTTCCTTTGTCATTGCATTTCAAATTGCAAGAACAGTAAAGAGTTGAGGCTGAACCTTATACAACCATTTTAACATTGAGCTCAAGAGATTATTGATGTACCGAACCTCAAAAAATAAATGCTTTTGGATAAAAACTCCCAAATAGAACCCGAATTTTTCGTGAAACTGCTATTTTTGTGTTAAAAATTGGAAGGAAGAAACACAATTCTCATTGGTCAAAAATCAACCCAAAGTTATCCCAACCCGTAATACGGGAGCTGTGAGCGAATTTTCAATGTTGTAATGAACTGATATTTTGATATAGTAAGTTTTTTCTCAGTTTAAATCTTCCAGCGGCATAAGGACAACGATCTGAATAGTAGGGTGAAGCAGCCTTCTATACAGATCGTTGGCCTAAGTCGGGCGATGTGTTTTCGAGCGTGTACTTCACCTTACGACGTTCGTTTTGGTCCACCGAATTACTTAAACAAAATCTATTAGTACGCTTTATTTTCCACCAGGAGGGATCGATTGTTTCACTTCTCAGCATAGAAACTGTTTCTTTATGTTAGCCTTATGAGATCCGTTTGCAAAAAATAGACACAATTCGGATTTGAGCTTGAGCACGGTTTATCTCTGTTCGTACGTCTTGTACCGCTCGTTCAACTTGTCCTGGAAAATAAACTTTCGTCATGAAGACGACAGGGTTACTTGATAAATGTTTAGGTGGTTGTAAGTTTTTTTCTCTCTCATATCAGCCTCAATATAGTTTTGTTTCGAAGATGTAAATTATGCTATTTTTGTGTTGAGAAAGTCATCAAAACAGAAGTAACACGCGAATATCGCCGTTTTTCTGCTAAGCTTATATTTTGTGAGGTACGGTAAAAATTCTGCTGATAGTACTAAAACACTTTTTAAACCGATAAGGATTGCAATGTAATCTTGTAATGTAATCTTGTAATCTTTATCGGTATGTACGGTACATGTAGGATGCGAGCCTGTCTATAGTAGACTCTACGATGGTTCCTTTCATACGACGAGTTTCTCTTTTGTCGCAAAAAGTAAAAAAAAAAATGCTTCATTCATCTTAGTCACGTCCTCATTCCGCAATTTGACAAGCCCTACACAGTCTTCTCTTCAGACCACGAGCAAACCTCCAACGGCCAATGCGTCTCTCCTTGTTTGTCCTGCTATTTGCCACTGTTGCGGCCGCTCTCCTCGCAAGTGGTAACGCTGCAACCTTGGCGTATGACCGCACACCAGTGATCTCCACGTCACAAGACCTGGTTGCTACCAACCAGAACGTTGGTGGTGAAAAACGCCTCTTGCGCTACCACGACAACAACAAGGATCGTGCTCAGAACGGGAAGGAAAATGCAGATGAAGAAGAAAGAACGGGAATCAACCTCTTCTCCACGATGAAACTTGACGAGATGTTGGATGGGACAAAGTTTATGAATGGATTCAAGAAATGGAAGGCTGCCGATTACACCACTTACAATCTCCCCAAGCACGTGCTGGCCAGGGCGTCCGCTTCTGATTTCCCAAAACAGTGACCAAAGTACCCAAAAGTGACCAAAGCATTAACCTACAGAAAAATAACTTACTCCAGATTAGCAATTTATAACGACGTTTGAAGAAAATAAACCTATACCTACTTAATGATTTTTTTAAAATTAGTTTCTCTATTGCTAAACTGTTTACAAAGACATATGGCGCTGCATGTTGTGGGTGTCGCTGTCGGCGGTGCCGAACGTCGGCAAGTTGGTCGAGGTAGTTCTTGGCTTCTTGTTTTAGAACTTCAACAAATTTGAGTATGCTTAGATGTGGAGCACTGAACGTGTCTGTGAGCCTCCGATTGTACGCCTCCAGCGGGTTGTTAGTATTTTCTGTTGACTATATCGACATTCTCATTCATCAACCCGGAGATATTCCAACAAGAAATATCGTATGTGTCCTACCAAGTCTTCACAAAGTAGTCCCAGAACGCTTGCCATTTTTCTTTGCGATCTGCTTCCGTAGGCACGATGAGACGGTACAGCGTTTTAATGACGAACGGGATGCCCGTTTTTTGTAGCACATTGACTGGTAAAACAGTGAATAGGTCAAGTACTCCAGACTCCATGGCAGCCGCGACCTCCACTCGAGCGATCCCCAATGAAATCATTTTGCGCCGTATAGCCTGCTTCCAGTAGAACAGGTACCCGACAATGCATGCACTTTCGAACTGGTCACGAATTTCAAGGTGGAGCGCTTGTTCAAAGTCACCCAACCCCATGCTCGGTACGCAAGCCATGTCCGTTTGAATTTTTATCCATTGGGACACGTTCCAGTATGTCCAGTGATCCTTGGTATCAACCAGATAACAGAAACACGGTACGTAGAGGTTGTGAGCTCGATCGTGAATCATCACAATGATGGTTTGAGTGAAAGGCTTTGGAGTCACACTGACGGTGGTGTCGACGAATAGAGTAATACCAGGATATTTCATCAGTCGAATTAAATCTGGATGCCCAAACCCAACGATTCGCCTCAATTTTCCCTCCATTGGGTAAGCAAGGTTCATCTGGAGAAATTCTCTATCGTCATCATCAGATATGCGTCGGACTTTCTCCGTCTCGATCGCTCGAAAGGCATCACCACCGGTTGACGCGTCTCGGCACCTCCTAATAACGCCAAACGCTTCTCGCTTGGGCCTTCAACCCAAAAATAACTCGACCACGAATACTGGTCCGAGCTCGAAGATGAAGGCAGCGACAAGGATCAAGCCACATCTTCCACTGTTGGGACCTGCACGCCAGCTGGAGGCGAAGAAGAGGACGCCGACGAGAATGGCGAGGAAGAGGGAGAAGAGAACAACGACGACGAAGCCGAGGACGAGGAAGGCAACGGAGGCGATGAAAGCGACTCTAAGAACGTCGCCGTCCTGTGATCCTGACGCTCACTGCTTTGCATGGTGATTCTTCTGACTGTGCCAAGTCCTATCTCAGATTAATTTCAGCGTTCAACTCGTTCCTTTCGTCTCAATATCGTTGCTATCGCTCCAGGATCTCCGTCAATCGTTTCGCGCTTTTTAGGACACATCGACTACGCATTCCATGTGTTATGGCCTCCTTTGTCCTAGACTATAGACCTAACGTCGTTCCAAGTAGCAAGTCCCGCCTCGTTCCACAATCACCAACGTCAAAATACTCCAAAACGAAATAACCCGAAGTTGCATAAACATGCCCAATATAAACACCATCCTATGTCTTGGAATTCGCAAGTCCCCAAGGACACTTTCTGGCGTAGCCCTTTACGCCACACCCGTTCCAACTGGTCCACGTACCAGTTAGAACGTCATCTCGGCGTCGTTCACGTCCGCGTTGGCATCTACCAACCGGACGTTCCAACGGAACTCTGGCAGACCTCGCTTCTTGCGATCTGCGTCCTCAAACTCTCATATCAGTGTTCCAGACTCGGGGGCTAGCGCCGCTCGAGACAACCAGAACGTCTCGTACGCGGCAGTAAGAACCAAATACTGCAACTCACGCTTCTCGATTCTCTTAGCCACTATATCTACGATTTGCGACGACACACCAGAGAAAGCAGTCTCTTCTCCGCCAATCGACAGGCGCTCCATGAAGGTAGTAGGCGGTAGGTCATTCATCTGCAGAAGACCCGTTTCATCTTCGGAGTCGCCCCCCCTCGACATCGTTCGGTATCTCGTCTTCGTACGGTCGACTCCAGCGACCTCGACAACGCTTCAAACGATTCACGTTCATCATAACAACTTTGTTAAGATGGGAAGGAATCGCGATCTTGTAGGCTTTTCCCCGACTTGGCAGACAGCACGGTAAGGACCATACCAGGAGAACGCCAATTTCTTCGTCTTGTGTTTCCCAACCCGAGCTCTGAAATACTGATACACCCAAACAGCATCCCCAGCTGCATACGACACCTTCGCTTGCTGTCTACTTGCTTTTCATGCCTGTCTTGGGCCTTGAGCAGTTGCCGTTCCACCAGCCGTCGTGAGGCTCTCAAGGAGTGGTACAGTTTCAGTCTATTCACCGCAACTTCGTTACTCTTCCAGTCCTTCCCCGTATTAAGGAACGCCAACTCAATAGGCAACACCGGGGCTTGCCCATACAAACTAAAAAAAAGTGTCACCGAGACCTTCATGATAAACCGTCCAGTACGCGAAGAAGACACTCGGCAGGTACACATCCCAGTCAGTCTGCGTCTCGTTCACGAAAATCCGCAATATTCCCATCAGCGTTCCATTAAAGCGTTCCACGAGACCTTGAGTCTGCGGGTGATACGCTGCCCCATACAACTTCTTAATCCCCAGCCTTTTGTACAACGCCCGAGCCAGATTCGACGTAAAATTCGACTCCCGGTCACTCAGTAGGCGTTCCGGCAAATAGCATCCTCTAGTACAGTTTTCACGAAGGAAATCATGCCGAGCGACGCGACAGTGATCGCCTGGACCCACCGCGTAAAATAGCCCACTAACACCAGAATGTACTTGTTCCCTGAAGGTGTCACGACCAGAGGACCGATAGCATCTACCACGAGTAACGCAAACGGACCCGACAAATCTTGAACAGGCATCCGTTGCATTAGCCCAGCTCTCCAAAGCCTGTGACCCTTACCACTGCCGCAGATAGAACACTCGCGAACGAACTCTACCCCGACCCTCTTTCCAACCGAGCCGATACGCGTGTCGCAGTATTTTACTAGCTGTCTTTGCCTTCCCCAGGTGAGCAGATAACATGTCGGCGTGACAGTAGTGCAGGACAGTCTCAATAAACGGCAACGGCAATGCAGAGACGCAGATCGTCATCGCAGGACCGGTACGTGTGCCACAGTGAGCAAGCCTCATCAGGACTCCGTTCCTCATCACGTAGTGAGGTGATATCTTTAGCACGCTGACCCTTAGCGTGGATCGACGTCCTCGTGTTCTCACAAAAAAAATCCACGTGTTCTCACCAAAAATTCACTTGAGCGCCTGATGATCCGTAAACAGGTTAACCTCTGCATGGTCGAGGTAGCACCTGACCTTGCGCGTAGCCCCCACCACCCCCAGCACTCAATCTCGATCGTTCCACTCGTCTTGTAGACCCAGTTCCATTGGGAACTCACCAACATCTTGCTCGCATACGCAATAGCTGGGTCCCGCTTATCGACCTCTTGCATCAGGCACGCCTTCACAGACAAGTGCGACACACCCACATAGAGTTTGAACCGCTCCTTGAAATTGGGATACACGAGAATAGGAGGCTTCACCATTGCCCGTTGAATCTGTCGGAACGCCACCTCGCATTCGTCGTTCCACAGGAACTCCACTTCCTTCTGCTTAAGGCGTTCCAAAGACGTGGCAAACACTGCAAAGCCTGGTATATAGCGCTTGAAGTAAATAGTCAATCCCAGGATCGCCCTGACTGTATGCAGGTCATGCGACCTTCTGATTTTCTTCACCGCCTCCGCTTTCTCAGGATTGGAGAGGATCCCTGTAAAAGTTACGATGTGGCCGAGGAACGCCACCTGATCGCGTCCCCAATGACACTTCTTCATCTTTAGTTTGAATCTTGCTTCCCTGAAGCGTTCCAAAACCAGGTGCACTCCACCAAATCAGCAGGGAAGTCGTCACTAAAGACAACACAGTCGTCCAGGTAGTCTAGACAGGTTTGCCATTTGAGCTCGACGAGGACATTCTCTATCAACCGCTCAAAAGCCGGGACGAAGTTACATAAACCAAAAGGCATGACAAGCCACTCGTACAGTCCAAACTTGTTCGTGAACGCTGTCTTCTCTACACTGCCCGGATCCATTGAAACGTTCCAATATCCAGAAGCGATGTCCATCGTGGAGAAGAGCTTAACATTCCTCAGAACGTCTAAGATTTCATCGATCAACGGCATCGAATAGCTGTCCTTTACCGAGACGTCGTTCAACTTTTTGTAATCCATACTGAACCGAATACCGCCGTCAGGCTTCCATATCATAAGCACAGAATTTGCCAACGGGCTCGTCGACGGTCTAATGAGGCCAAACCAAGGTATTCTTGAACCTCAGACTCCATGACATCTCCTTCAGTTTTTGAAACTTTGTACGGGGGCTGCTACATCGGCGCATGCATTGCAGTGTCGATGCTGAGCTTCAGGAGTTCCGTTCGTTCTGGTTTCTCGGAGATCCCGACGAACAAGTCTCGTGTATTCTTCAGCATTTTTGCGAAGAGCCACCTTTGCTCGGCAAGCAACGACTAGTCCTGAAAGTTTACTTCGAAGTCATCGTCGTCTCCGCCTTCCATCGCAGCGGCCATCTCAGCCTCTTCCGTTCTTGCTTGAGTCTCAGGGTTCCCACCGGTGGCATTCAACATCGCACTAATGTTCTTTGGCGTTTCCGCTTATCGTGGGGTCTTGGTAGCGAAGGCCGACTCTAGCGCGATAGTCACGGCGGCGATGGAAGCCCCTGACCCGACTTCTACTTCCTCCGCAGACGCGTTGCACACTTCTACTAGCACCATTCCATCCGCCACTTTGTACAGCGTTCGAATAACCCTCAGTGAGTCGTCCGCTACCGGAACGACCTCTACTAGGCCGAACGACTTGTCCTTTTATTGTTCCACGGACACTTGACCTCACGAGAGCTTGCCGATCTGGTTCCAATCGCACCAACGACGAAACTGTGGCTATATATGTCTTCTTTACTCTTGTCGCACCTAAGGGGATCACGTCCCCCGTTCCCTTCAGTGTCATCGTCCGCTCTTCTAGGGCTATCATCGCACGCCGTCCACTTCGCGTAGCCCAGGCCTTTTTTGCCACCTCGGGGCACTCCTCGCTCTCACTCAATAAACTTCGGGTGCCTCTTTGTCAACTACGGTCACACGGCCTTCGGTTGGCAGGACAAAAGTCACTCTCTTCTGCGTCTTTGTGACAACTGTCGTCGCGACCGGGCTCACTATTTCAGGAGTTTCTCTCGCCCCATCGCGCAATTTGTCCCTTATACCACGCTTCTTTATTGAATTAGAAGAACCCCTCCTGTGTGTGTTCCAGCACTTCTTTCGGTTTTCCTAGCACGGGGCTCATATCCGCGAGCGTCGGCTTCTCCTGCTACTTGGCGTTCTGCTTGGCACGTTGTAAAATCTTATCCCCATCTTCCGGGATCTACCTTTCCTCCAATTCCTCGCTATACTCCTCAGGTTCATTCTGTATCTCCGGACTGTCACCGCGTTCCAGCATATCCAGCTCTGTGTCGGTAAACAAACGGTCGTATTGTTTTGTAGAATCCATTCCCTTAATAGTCGCGTCATTATCTTCGACGCTCCACAGCTGTGCAGGGGTCTAGCAGATGAACCGGTTGACCTGTTGAGTCTCAAAGCTATCAATTCTGCAGTTGTACCACCACTCTTGATCGTCTTTGCCCTTTAGGCACTGCTCGAACGCCGACAATCGCTTTTGACCATCTATGCCTTGTGTGAACTTCTCGAATAAACGCCAAAACGTCGCCGCTCTTTCACTCGTAGCGGTATCGGAATAAAATGGAACGATCACCTTCACGGCGTTCTGCAACTCAGTTGGAATGCCAAGAATTGGCGCGTTCTGGCCCGAGAGCGTTCCAATTTTAGACACTACATAGTCACCATCAAGGTTGTAAGGTCGATTCGCCTCGGACCTCGAGGATACACCGGACGCGTCTGGTAACCTCCTCCTTGGACACTGAAGCTCCTACTAGTTTCAAGACTTATCATGCTCGCAGGCGTCTGATTCGCGGGAGCGGCCGACCACGCTGGCAGCGTTCCACCCGAGCTCCACCCCGCCGTAGGCGATATCGGATGCTGGAACGGTAGGTAGAGAGCACTAAGGCGTAGAGAGCACTAAGGCGTGTCGCGCCGTTCCCTCCATCATTCCTGTTGGTGCTATCCACTTGGGTGGTCACGCCACCGTACGGAGGGATCGCAGCCAATGGCATTCTCACCGGCGTCGAAGCTAGCGCTGGTAGCGTCACCCATGGAACCATCGGACCCTGATACCCTATCATCGGAGTACTAAGCGGTCGAGTCGGACCAACTAGGCGTCCCCGTAGCGTACGCACAGATGGCGACACAGGCATTACCTCCTCAGATGGTGGCACCCCAGTTGAGGTTCCAGCTGCCACCGACAACCTCTGGAGTGCCCGGCTGAACGTGCCGACCGGTATCTCTTGCAAACCAGAGTCCGTCGTCGGCGTTCCAGCTCTCCTCGTCGGCATCTCAGTCGCCCGAGCTCGCATCGTCCCAAGCCCTTCTGACGTGACGTTTGCTGGGACGTCGTTCCGGCGTTCCACCAGACGCGGTGATGGGTGCCCCGCAGCGTACGGCGGGACTCCACCGCCTGACCGATCACTGGCGCCGAACGACGCACTGGCGGGCGTGGCCGTGGGCACCTCACTTAGTGTGCCTTCCACCCGCTGTAATGAAAGTCTCGATGTGTCGAAAGAGAACTCGTTCACAAGCACCGCGACTCTCGCCCCTGGGTTCAGTTGTTCGTGGCGTTCCGCGTTCCGAGCAGTCGGTCGAACCGCGCCCAGCCGAAGTCCTTCCGTGAACGTCACCCCTGACAGACACTTCCGCGTGTCCTTCGTCTTCGTTTTATTTTCACCTCAGCAGGATGTGGCGTCTCCGTCTCAAACAAGGGAGCCCAGCCACCGAGCCCCTTACCCGCTTCTTGACCTAGGACCTCTCCGAATCATCAGTGAGAGCTCATGACCCTCTCTCTCTCTCTCTCTCTCTCTCTCTCTCTCTCTCTCTCTCTCTCTCTCTCTCTCTCTCTCTCTGCTCTTTCGTTCCCGCAATAATTTGGCGAGAAGATCTTCTGATTCTCCACCAAACTGTCGCAGTTTTCCTCCTTTGTGTCGGGATCGTGTATCTAGCAGGCCGATGTTGGAACGAGAACTATTGCGATAAATCCAAATGTAACTTGTTGTATTCTGAGTACTTCCCTCTTAAGAAGAAAAAAACACGACTGAACTTCACCCCACGGTCTCCCCACGACCAAGAAGCTCCCTACCTTTCCACAAAACGCTTCTCAGGTGGTGGTACACTGCAAAGCACCGCAACTTTCCCTTCATTCCTGTCCCACTTTATACATGGAACGCCGACGTCTGCTCCCCTTGACCTTGCTTGTAGGACGTGGTGTGCTGAACCTGTAGTGAACACACCTTCTGGGTTCGGTCCGCGAGAATGGCGAGTCCTCCATCTAGCTGTAGACCTTGACACTTCTCAACTTATTTTTTCTTGAAATCAGCGAGGAGAGTATTGCCTCAGCTTGCTGTATTGTCGACGCGAGAATCTGTCAGAAGTGTCGGGTGGCTATCTAGTAGAGCAGGGGAAGGAGAGGGAGGGGGGAGGGGGGGGGGGGGGGGTTCCGAGTGTTGGGTGGTTTCAAAACCTACACACACAACTTTTTTTCGCGTTTAGTCATTGGCCCAAAGTCTCAACTAATCTTCTCGCCATTTGGGTGAAATGAGCTACGAATGTTGCTTGTTAAAGTTGAATGCTATTGTATAGTGTGGTGTTCAGCGATCGAAATGAATGGTCCTCCATGTTCTATGGAGCATTTCGGACTTTTCGATGCTTCGATCACAGTTTTGGTGCTTCTGTACGGTAATTTCTGTAAACAATACGTCCTCGTGTCAGAATCGTAGTCCTGGCCAGTTTATTAGCTCTCCTTATTAGCCAATTTTAAACGGTAATCGATTCTTATTGGTTAATGACAAAGCGATCCCTCCTTAACGCCCTTTTTGTGCATCAGTGCATACTTTAATCAAGGCGAGGGAGCTACTAACTGGCAAGAGAACCAATTCGCAGAATCACAATGAAAGCACTTCTAAACGTTTTCAGCTGCAACAATTAACTTCTTATACATTCCCTAAATTAGACTGATTCTCCTCTTTTCAACGCTACCTGGCACGTGTCAATCGGATACCTGGCTGCAATGATATTGACGGTTTAATGAGGGCGCCGAACCGAGGCTACTAAACTGGCATTTTCGCTTGCTTTGATGATGAAGATCGCGAAGCTGGTTCATTTCTAAGCCTATCTAGCTTCAGCCCCAAGTGTATGCAGCTGCACCAATTACAAGTTCGCTCTTTTAAATATCACAGTTGGATATTGTCCTTCTGAGCACTGAAGGAATTGATCCTCCCTCTTCTTCAATCGAATAGGTTATACCGTATCATCATATGCATGGTCGGCATTTTCAATATGAGTGTGAGCACAAGGTGGAGTTGAGGCATGGGACGTCAAGGCCACTGACGCTGGTGCCAAGCCCAATAACGCTTTTTGACGACACGAACTTACTGTCTATGGTGGCTATCCTCTGGAGGTGAAACGAGGAGGTTGGTTGTCTGTTGAACAGTGAAGGGTTACAAAGAAGTCTACAGTAGAGGCATGAATGGTTCGATTGTACGGTAGAAAATCTCAGATTGCCCACAAGTTCTTCAAAATACCCCTCGGCGTAATCGCTCATAGGGGCTTATGGGGAATACAAGACCGGTTACTATTTGGTAAACCCGTCATTACTCGCTGTAGCAACAGGGGTGGCCGATCATAAGTTCCGGCTACGTATGTGGTCCAAAGGTAACAGTATGTCTCCACGTCAACGCTACTTTACAGTATATTGAGGACGTTTGTTGAGAGCACCCGCCTGGTTGACGTTCGTGATAAGTTGTGGCGAGCATTCCCAATACTAGCAGTGCCGGACTTCTATTTCTGGAAGCTATTTGTATTTGAAAGGTCCGTTATATCTACTGAGAATATCGAATACAAACCATCGAGTGCGTTTGCCGTGCAGATTGGTTTAGAATAGCATCCCAACACTTCAGGATTGATAACCGCTCCATTATTATCAATGATGAGCATGTAGCTGCGTAGGAGATGTTCAAATAACAAAACTTATCAAGTATAGATGATAACCTGTAAGTAGGCATTTTCCAGAAAATATCAAAGCTCGCAGTAATGACCGCAGGCTGTATGTTAAGGGCAGCATGAAGATCTAGTAGAAACTCTAGATTCGTTAGGCGATGTACTCGATTTCTATAGTTCTGTTGCTGCTTGACTAAAACAACGCATGAGTATATAGGTCACCATAAGGCAAAACCTGCACTACATACTCTACTGGTACATGCGGTACATCAGTATAAAACACCAGAGAGCGAGATGCGTTATCTAAATTCATCAATATTCAACATATTTAATGTGCTCAGATTTTCCGCTATTTGGCATCTCGTCACCAGCAGCAACCTCTTACTTGTAGACACGGTGGTTCTCGACATAATCCAACATCATCTTGGCAAGATTGTTGTCGTCCTGAATGATAGCGCGCCCAATTCGTTCCTTGATTGTGTCGAGGGAATAGCCATCCCACTTCTTGAACATTATACGCTGATACTCGGTGTCTACCAGCATCTTTTTCCAAGTTGCGCTGGAGAAAGGTCCCCATAGCCATTTGCCTATTATTGCCTGAGCCCTTTCTTCGACGTCGGCTGTCTCGTCGCCCCGGAGAGAACGGTTACCAGCCCCATGGGTTGTTTGACCAGTGGTGTTCGAGTTTACACTGGGTGCGAAACACACCGATACCAGCACGAAAATGATGAAGCTAAGGCGCATTAGATCTGTTCAAGAGGTAGTGGCCAGGACCGACTGAACTGTTAGGGATCGAGTTGCAAAGTGAGACAACGGAACAGTAACTTACTGACCAAACATAGATGTACGTATCATGACACCACAGTTTCCAAACTTGAATGAATGGACAGGAAATCGGATACTGTATGCTGAATTGGAAATCCAGTACTCTAGGATTACGGTATTGGTAATCCAGTAATGTTGGATTATGGTATTGGTTATCCAATAATGTAGGATTACGGTATTGGTAATCCAGTTATCTAGGATTTACGGACGCTCCATTTGCAAACAGTGACAAGTGGGCTGTTCTGGATGAGGTATTCTTACAACTTCATGTTTTTCTTGAACATAGACGGATCAGTAATCCGTACGGGATATTGCGTTTCTTTGTTACAGGACCAAGAGCGAAGTTTGTTAAAATTCCTTTGTCGAGCATAAATTTGATCACAGCATAAACCCGCTACAAAACATTTAAAGTGGTGGTGGTCTAGTTCTCTAATTCGCTCTGTAAGACGAGTTATTATCGCTCCAAAGTTGGTATTGACGTGTCCGCAAGTGCTGTAGGCTTCACCTTTTTCAGGAGCGTAGGTGCTTTGTACATTCGATCGAAATACATAGAAGAAAAGTTGCCCTATTGTTTCCAATGCGCATATTACTAGCACGTTGAACGCAAATAAGCAGCGCCTGACGAGTGCCATACCGTGGTACTCAGTATTACAATGCAACGATGTCTGGAGAGTCAAGTATGTCCGAAACTATGTTTAACGTAGAGTTAGTTCAAACCGCGATCTTCATAAGCGTACAATATTTACTCCTTGTAAATGCCTACACCTCCATTAAAGCCTGGAGACTAACTACCTTAAAATAGAGATCTCATGTCGGCATTGGGCGACAGATATGCTCGTAGATGACGAACTAGCATTTGATGTAGGGCTGTAGTGCCAAGATAATACCAGCCATGCCAAGCTAGCTGCAGAGCTGGCTGTTCTCGTGCATAACGAGCCAGCCAGTTGAAGCCACTGCAATAACGCGACTCACGATTACCATAACGTTAGTGCTGATGACAGTGCTAGCCATAACGACGCTTGTGTTGACAGCAACGTCAGCCAACCAAACACATATTGAGCCCTAGCTAGACTAGATCATCCAAGTGCTCATTTTGTCTTTACCTAACAGACTTCGGCCATACTTCCAGGGAGCTGCCGGCTCCCCCATCGTGTCTTCAATCCCTGCAGACACTACAAGGGCACAGACCAACTCACTTCAATTCCCTGACACGATCAAGTATATTTACTGGCCGAGCGCCGCCGCTACGCGGCCGTAGTTTATGTTAGGTCGCAATCGCTAATGTCTTTCCTGCCTTCGCTTTGTTTCTGCGCGATTATAACCATTGTTAAGCCACCTTTTGCTTATCGATTACCCTTAAATATTGCCTTTAACCCAATTACCGACTACTTTTATACAGTTCATTTAACCCTACAAATTATGTATCACTTTATAACAATCTCGATAAAGTCTTATCCCCAATTTGAACAGTACAATCCATAGGTATAATGTCCTTTGTACTATCAAAGCTTCCTGCATATTACTTACTATACGAACACGTTAAAGCTTTTCTCGCATTCATTGTACTATACACTTTATTTACGAATGATTAGTGATAGCCTCGTGCCCTAACACTATTATAAAATATTTATTGTTTTCATAAACTATATTGCAGTGTGCAGTCTGAAGTGTTTCCTCAGTTAGTAGTATTGTTCAAACACCATTCTACCAAATGAAATAAATTTACTTGTTTTGTTTGCGTGTTGGTATCGTTGGCTCAAGACGCCTACTGTTGATGGAGAATTGCCCCCAAGTAGCTATGGCAACAGCACTCACGCGCTCGGGTTTCAGCAAAGTGACTTTGTGTTCAACTACCGATATTGTCAAGTCTATCTATCTCGATTATTCTGCTTCAGACAAAGTATCCACGGGTATAGTGCGTTAACCAGGTTAAGTATTCACGTTTACAGTGCGATAACCAGTTTGATATAAGATAAAGTACTCCCATCATAATTATCTAAAACGCGAGGGTGCATCAATGTCAGTCTTTTGCGTGGTTAATATTTTCATGTTTGCGGTGGCTACAGCTAAAAGCGCAATAGAGAATATGACCAAGTTACAACTTGATAACGAACCTAGATATTAAAAAACAAAGGATTACAACATCGTTACAATCCCAGGTAGGACTCTGGTTATAAAACCCAGAGAAATGGAACGATATCTTGTAAATTGCTCTGGTTGCGACGAGTAGCTTACTATGTAGTACTTCGATGTCGTATCTCTCCGGCTTAAATTGGTGTCTTTAGCAACGATTGTACTATTCTAGAACTCACATTTAGCCGTATAGTAATACGAGCACGATGCATTTGAATAGGGCCGGCCAATCCGCCTTGATCATACCGTTTGGAGTGCAGGTTTGAGTTTTTAATCGCTGCGAACATATCTTTACAGTCACTTCTCGTTTACCAATGTGTAGCTTGGTCAAGAAACGATTATGCGATTGTCAGATAAGAATACCCTTCGTTCGCTTATAAGTCTAATGCGAGCGGACCACCAAATGTGTAGTGTTGTTCGTAAGCAGGCCGATCATTGTAGTGTTGAATAGGTTAACAAAGCATTTTTTTTTTTGCCAACATTCAGCTTGGCTATTGATCCAATACTAAAGCCACGCGCTGCGAAGGAAAAAGTTTGATATCAGTGATGGAAGACTATTATTCGCTTACTGTAATCGAATGGACGTATCATCCTCCTGTCACGGTCTACAGCTAGATGGTGGATTCACCTTCCTTGTGGACTGTATCCAGAAGGTCTGCTCGCTACAGAGTCAACGAGCTACACCCAACACGCAAGGACAAGAGGAGCAGACGTCGGCGTTCCACGTCTAGAGTGGGACTGGGATGAAGGGAATGAGGAGGTACCTCGCTGTGGACCGCTGCGTGGGAACGATTTGTGGATAGGTAAGGAGCTTCTAGGTCGTGGGGAGACCGTAAGGAAGAGGCTCAGTCGTGTTTTTCCTTCTTAAGAGAGAAGTACTCAGAATATATCAAGTTACATTTGGAATTATCGCTCTAGTTCTCGTTCCTACGTCGGCCAGCTAGATACACGACCCCGACACTAAGGAGGAAGACCGCGACAATATTTGT